TTCTACTAATTCGGTCTAATCTAAAGACTTCAATCGAACAAGCCTCTGCACAGTGCCCAAAATCTGAAACCTCTTTGCTCAGAAGACAAGAGGGTCTCCTTTGGCACATAGACAAGATCTTTTTTACTCAGGAGGTCAGACTTCAGGTTGTAAAGACCTGTCATGATCATCAGCTTGCCGAACATTTTGGGGTCTATAAGACAGTGGAGCTGGTTCAGCGGTCATTCTGGTGGCCTAATCTGAGACAAGATTGCAGGGACTATGTAAGTTTCTGTACTACCTGCCTCCGCAGCAAGGGTAGTTGCACCCAAGCATGGAGATCGCTAAGACCATTTCCAGTCCCAGACCACCTGTGGAAGATTATATCCATGGACTTTATAGTGGATCTGCCCCCTTCAGAAGGATTTACTACTATTCTGGTGGTTGTGGATCGCCCATTTCTTGCATTTGGTGGACACAGCTATGGACACAGCACATATCTTCATCAAGGAGATAGTAAGATTGCATGGCTTACCAAGCAGCATTGTGTCAGACAGAGGGGTGCAATTCACCTCCAGATTCTGGAAGGCTCTTTGCAGGGCTTTGGAAATAGAGGTCTGCCTGTCCTCCGCTTACCACCCGCAGTAATGGCCAGTCAGAAAGAACAAACCAGACCCTGGAACAATACCCGCAATGTTTTTCTACATGTTCTCAAGATAACTGGGTCACGTTGCGTCCATGTGCTGAATTTGCTTATAACAATTCCATCCATACTGCCACCATGTAATCTCCATTCTGGGCGAAGTATGGCTTCCATCCCTTCTTCCTGCCAAGTACCGCCCTGGAGGCAGCAGTGCCTGCCGTACAGAACAGATTAATGTTTATTCAAGAAAATTACCAGGTTCTCTAGGAAACTATGTGGAAAGCATAAGAGGATTACAAAAAATTTTATGACAGGAAAAGAACAGGGAATCCAAATCTGAACGTTGGAGACAAGTATGGCTTCCTCAAATTTGGGGCCAAGATTTGTTGGTCCATTTGAGATCAAAAAGAAAATTAACCCTGTGGAATTCAAACTGATTCTGCTGAGCCCCAGTAAGACTCATCCGGTTTTCCATGTGTCTCTGCTTAAGCCAGTCTCTTCAGGTCCCTTTTCAGGAAGAGAATCTCCACCCCCACCTCCAGTCACAGTGGGGGAAGAAATGGAATTTAAGGTTGAAACTATCTTTTGTCGAAAAAGGGGAAGGCAGGGCCCAGTACCTCATAAAATGGAAAGGATACCCACCTGAGGAAAGTTCCTGGGAACAAGTGAATAATGTGTATGCCCCTAAACTTCTGCAAGATTTTATAACAACTACCTTGTGCCTCTGTGTTGCTTTACTTCTGGATACCCATTGCTGACTCGGGTTGCCCCTGGACTTGTCTTGGCTGTTCTCCTGGCTCTGACTCCGACTTGTTACACAGATTCTGCTACTGCCTGCCTCCTGTGTATGACTCCGGCCTGTTATACGGATTTCTCTTATTGCCTGTCTCCTGTGTATGATCTTGGCTAGATCTGTGACCACACTTGCTTCTACTCCTGACTGATCTTCTGTGCATGATTCCAGGCTCTGCCTCCTGTTCTGCTCTCCTGTCACAATCCACCTAAGCATCAGGAGTTCCGCCTGTCCTGTTGGTAGCATGGCACAAGCAAGACTTCACCTGCTCATATGGAGTGTCTTCCATCCTGCTGACACCACCAAGGTAAAGTCCATTTCAAGTTCCTCATTCATTCAGGCTACTTCGTAACAGGCAACCCGTGCTTCTTTGGGTGCAGCACTCCCTGTTTCTACCTTCAGGGGTGCTCAGCACTCAGCCACTAGGGGAGCTCTCTCGTCACTTTGGCCTCCAACCAGCTATGTGACACCTTGTTGTAGTGAGGCAGAAAAGCTCATGTGGACTGTGCACCATCTGTTCTATAGGGCTATTTACAGAAGCTCTAACAATTTCATAAAACAATTGGATTGGTATATGTGCATGCAGTGGTGTAAAGCACGCTGCCACTGGACTTTAGAGCAGTGGCGACATGTTTTCTGGAGTGACGAATCATGTTTCTCTGTCTGCCAATCCAATGGACGTGTCTGGGTTTGGTGGTTGCCAGCAGAGCAGTACTTGCCTGATTGCATTGTGCCAAATGTAAAGTTTGGTGGAGGGGGATTATGGTGTAGGGTTGTTTTTCAGGAGTTGGGCTTTGCCCCTTAGTTCCAGTGAAGGGAACTTTTAAGGTGTCAGCATACCGAGACATTTTGGACAATTTCATGTTCCCAGCTTTGTGGGAACCGTTTGGGGATGGCCCCTTCCTGTTCCAACATGACTGCGCACCAGTGCACAAAGCAAGGTCAATAAAGACATGGATGAGTGAGTTTGGGATGGAGGAACTTGACTGGCCTGCTCAGAGCCCTGGCCTCAACCCAATAGAACATACTTGGGATGAATTAGAGTGGAGACTGCGAGTCAGGCCTTCTTGTCCGACATCAGTGCCTGACCTTACAAATGTGCTTCTGGAAGAATGATCAAACATTCCCATAGATACACTCCTAAACCGTGGGGACAGCCTGCCCAGAGAAGTTGAAGCTGTTAGAGCTGCAAAAGGTGGGCCAACTCAATATTGAACCCTACGGACTAAGACTTGGATGCCATTAAAGTTCATGTGCGTGTAAAGGCAGGCATCACAATACTTTTGGCAATATTGTTTGTGTATATATATATATATATATATATATATATATATATATATATATATATATATTGCACAGGGACAGTGTAAATAGAGGCAAAATGTTTTATTTAGATTTGTATAGAGTGGTGAAATGGGTAAAAATATTAAAAACGTTTTTGGGGTGTGTGCCCCTTTAAAATTAAAAAAAAAAAAAACAAAAACAAGGCCTAGAGGGGCAGAAAAAGTGTCATAATAAGCTCCTAAGTCCTACAAATAGTTGCAACAATGCTTAAAATGCAAAAAAGTTGAAGAAAAAAGGTGTTAAAGGGCCACTTTTAGATTTGATGACGTCACTTCCGATTCCAGTGATGTCACTTCCAATTTGAGTATATGGACATTTCCCAGCCTTTTTCTTAGATTTTTAAGGCTGAAATGTACTCATATTTTATCACTCTAGTCATTTTTTTGCATTAAGGTACTTTAATGGGTAAAAAAGTGCACAAACATTTTTTTAGGGGGTGTTTGCCTTTAAATTTTCAAAACCTCGGAAAAAGGCTTAGAGAAGTAAAAAAGATGTCATAATAGGATCAAAGGTCCCCCAATGGATGCAACAATCCCTAAAACGTAAAACAGTCAAGGAAAAAGGTGTTAAACGACCACGTCTGGTTTTAATGACGTCACTTCTGGTTTGAGGATATGGTTATTTCCCAGCCTTTTTCTTTGCTTTTTAAGGCTGAAATCAACTCATATTTCATTCTTCTGGTCATTCTTTAGTAAAAAATATGCCGCATTGAGTAAAAAGGAGCAAAACAACTTTTTTGGGGGTGTGCCTCTTTAAACTTTCAAAATATTGAAAAAAAGGCTTAGAGAGGCAGAAAAGCTGTCATAATGGGCTCAAAGGTCCCCTAAACAGATGCAACAATGCTTAAAACAGAAAAAGGTCAAGGAAAAGTGTTAAAAGACCACTTCTGGTTTTAATGACATCACTTCCAGTATTTGGTGGTCACTTCTGATTTGAGGAAATTGGCAATCTTCAGCCTTTTTCTTGGACTTTTAAGGCTGAAATGAGCTCATACTTCATCACTCTGTCATTCTCTGGTAAAAGAAAAGGCCCCAATGAGTAAAAAGTTGCAAAAAATGTTTTTTTTTGGAGGGTGTGCTTTCTTTTGGTGGTATTTGACCACTTCTGGCCCTATAAAAGAAAAAAACTACAGACATATTAAAAAAAAAGTATTTTTTACTTTCTGCTATAAAACATATTCAATAAAGAAAAAAAAAATAATATTTTTTTTATAGTTAGGCCAAAATGTACTCTGCTATATATTTTTGGTATAAAAACCCCCAATAAGCTTATATTGATTGGTTTGCACAAATGTTTTAGCATCTACAAATGGCGGTATATATACTGGAATTTTTTCTTTATCCTAGTAATGGCGGGAATCAACGACTTATAGTGGGACTGCGATATTGTGGCGAACAGTCTGACACTAACTGACACTTTGTGGGAACCAGTGACACTAGAATGATCAATGCTAAAAAATATACACGGTCAAGGTATTAATGAAACTGGCAGAGACAGGCTTAAATGTCTAGGGTTATCAAAGGGTTAATTGTGTGTCTAGCCAGTGTTTTTGTGTTTACTATGTGAGATTTTTACTAGGCAATCTGCTAGATTTTATTTCCTGAATAAAATCTAGCAGATCGCCACTGACAGAACACAGCTCTGCCTTGTTTACATAGGCAGAGCTGTGTTCTGTCAGTCTCCTCAGCGATCAATGGGTGCCTGCGCTCATCCATTTGCTGGCACCTGTTGATCAAGTTCTGCTGTGTCCAATCACAGCAGAAGTGGTGCATGTGCTGGTTCTAGGGCTAATTTAATGCAGATAAGGTTCTAAGTGAGTTTAATTACCACCTTAGTCATCTATAGAACCTGTTCAATTAATATGGGTTTGGTTTTAAAGGGATGAGGTGGCAACCCTTGACACGAGAGCCCCTGGATCCACTCTGTAGTACTTCAGAAATGTGTGTTGGGATGACCAGATCACTGCTCTGCTCCCCTGCAGGAGCAAATTGGATCATGCTTTGCTGGGTTTTTTGCCTTCCTCTGAATCAACTGTGGGTATAGGATTATAACTTTTTTTTTTATTATGGATGAAGTGGATGGACTTTTGTCTCTTTTCAGCCAGACTACTGTATGTAACTATATAAAAATCACATATACAGTATATATGTGGCCTTCGGCTGTCAATCACTGGGTACCAGACGGTGATTACTCGCCGGCACCCGGTGATTGCCGAGCATTACTGACGGTTGGAGAGAACTGTATGTAAACAATACAGTTCTTTCCCTGTCAGCTCCTGCATACTGCTTTGTATGGCTCTGCATAGCACAGCACACAGTAAAACAGCACACAGTTAATGCCCCTTTGAATTTCCCCACATGTTAAGCCCTTCCTCCCCAGTGCCATTAGTACAGTGATCAGTGCTTTTTATTAGCACTGATCACTGCATTGGTGTCACTGGGGATGTCAGTGACACCAAATCAGTTCCCCCAGTGTCAGAATGCCCGCCGCAGTCCCACTATAAGTTGCTGATTGCCGCCATTACTAGAAAAAAAAATCCCAGTATATATACGCCATTTGTAGACGCTATACCTTTCATGTAAACCAATTAATTCACACGTATTTGGATTTTTTTTTTAGCAAGGACATGTAGCAGAACACATTTTGGCCTAAATTTATGATCAAATTTGATTTTTTAAATTATTTTACTGGACATGTTTAATAGCAAAAAGTCAAATATAATATTTTTTTCTCAAATTGTCTTTTTTTTTTTACAGCGCCAAAAATAAAAAATGCACAGGCAATCAGATACCACACCGAAAGAAAGCTCTATTTGTGGGATGTAAATGTAATTTGAATGCAGCGTTGCATGACAATTGTCAGTTAAAGTAATGCAGCATCCTAACGCAAAAAATGGCCTGGTCAGTAAGGGTGGCAAATCCTCTGGAGGGTAAGTGGTTAAAGGGTGCCTGGACAAATAAAAGGTTGAGAAACTGAGAAACACTGGATTAGCTTTACTATCCAAGATACAATTGTCCTTCTTTCCCCCTGCTTTTATTCCAGGGGATGATGAATACTGCAAGGAAACCTCATTAGTCAAAGATACCTGCAAACAGCCCATGAGTGTCAGAAGAGACACTGCTCTTACCATCTTTGATGTCCTGTGTATAGGGGATGGTCTCAGCTGTCCACAACTGACGCTTTTCACCCACCCACTGGTGCTTTATCACTTCTCTGTGATCAAGCCCTGATGGGCAGGGCGAAACATGTCAGAGGGCATGGCCAGCGTGACAGCTGAGGTCATCCCCTTTACACAGGTGGTGAGAGCGGTGTCTCTTCTGCTCTCCCTATCGTAAGCTACTGGACTGACATTTGGACACCACTCCCCTGCACTTGCTGGTGAGGTGATTTCTCTGACACTCAGCTTCGACGCTTTACATTTCAGCCCATGAATGTGAACTGAGGGTTAAAGCGGAGCTCCACCCAAAAGGTGAAGTTCTGCTTTAAAGACTGGTCTCCGCTCCCCATTAAGGATTGGCACCTTTGGGGAACAGGTACCTGAATTTGACAGGTACCCGCTCCCCTTCTGCTGCGATCGCCTAGGTGATCAGAAGCGGACGTTGTCCTCCCTCCCGCCCCGTAGTCTTGTGGGACATGTGACAGGTCCCAGAAGACTACGGGGCCATTCAGGAAGTGCAGTGCTACTCGCACATGCGCTGTGGGCACCCGGCTGTGAAGCCGCAAGCTGTCACAGCCGGGTGCCCACATTGAAGATGCCGTTGCCTGGAACACCAGACGGCTGGTGAAATGGGCTGCGAGGAGAACACCGCGGGATCATGGGACAGGTAAATGGCTGTTTTTTTAAAAGTCAGCAGCTACAGTTTTTCTAGCTGCTTTATTTTCTTACAGTGTGAGTGGAACTCCGCTTTAAGTAAAGGAAGCACTGGATTCAGTATTTAGACCAGGGGTGTCAAACTGGCGGCCCTCCCTCTCCCATCATGCCTGAGTTTGGGAGTCATGCTTGTAACTGTCAATCTTGCACTGCCTCATGGGACTTGTAGTTTGGCAACAGCTGGAGGGCTGCCATTTTGACATCTGTGATTTAGAAGATAGCAGAGTGATGCTTTTTATTTATATGTGGTGGATTCTGACATTTCTATCTTGAAATCCCATGAAAGTTGTAGTAGTTTATTGCTTTATAGAAATGCAGTGACTTGGTCAACCCCTTTGGCAGCCATATACACTTCGATTTCATTATATGATCGTTGTGTGATTCATTAACTACAGCTCGCTGTCATTTTACATCCAAGGACCACTGAGGAGGCGGCGCCTATCTGGTCCGCCCAGCGGTAGTACTCTATGGTAAGCTGTGCATTCTAACCCCGCCCCGTCCGCTGTGTAACGGCCTGGTTTGAACATTTCCCCTCAGCGGGCGGAAGTGCCCTTTACAGTCGTGTTACGGTGACGGGGCTCAGGGATGGACCGGGCCGTACGGCTCGGACATGTCTAGTTGCAGAAATTAAGGCGGGAGGCGAGTGTCAGTGGAAGGATGCGGGGGTTGGGGGATGTCGTTGGACACGTTTAGGGTAAGACCGAACATCTGTCATTTCAACTTTGACCCGGGATGTTAATGTGAGCTGGAAAATCTGAGCGGACCGCGAGAAATAAACGTCTCTTCAGTTATAGAGGGTGCAGGGCCAGGCAGTTCTGTGGAAGTCCTAAAGTCAACCTGTCCGATTAGCAGCACGTGCTTTTGTTTCCTAGCCCCATGTGAGCTCAGGTGTGTGCTGTGACAGAGCCATGTGCTCACTGCATTCAGCCTAAATTTACACTAGCGTCAAGACCTGCTGCGTTTTTGAAGCCTCATGAACGCCTGTCAGTGCTCTGTGTCAATTATGGGCCTTGCAGCAGATGCTGTCACATGGTCGCTTTTCCATTACGCCATCATTTATCTGACATAGTCTTCAGCTGGCTTAAGCGCTCTCCAAATGCTTCCTTTTCATATCGGTGTAAATGCATTTACTGCATGTTTGAGATGTGCTTAGAAAGCATTACTAGCTGAAGATCTATACAATAGAAAACCAACTTGAAGGAGGCAGCTGAAACAAAAGCAGCAAAAAATGCATCAGTGAGGCTACGTTCACACTAGTATAAACATATATCACCAGCGCCAAAATTAAAAACAAATTAAATGCTGCTGTACATAAGTGTAAACCTACAGCAAAAATGATATAATCAACACAAACAGCGCAAATTAATTTTGATAAAGTGCTGAAATAAAATATATATAAATAATTATTAAACATATGAAGTCCCACTCCAAAATTCGTGAAAAAAAACTTTTATAAGTGAAAAATTGAAGAAAACTTCTTGGATATTCAGAAAGTTATTTTTCCAGAGAAGTGTGCTTCCACCACAAATTAGTGCTCAAACCATTAAATACCGCACTCACCAGATTATGGTGACAAAAGCCTTTTAGGTATTTATGGGATCCTAGACCCTTATAATATGCCTCCAGATCTCCACTCCACCACAGGAAAACTTTCCTCCGATTTCCAAGACCACCAGATTTCACTTCCCAGAGATAATGTAATGTAGGGAAAAAAACAAAACAACAGCGTAATACTGCAACACCCAGTTAAATCAATCAATCAATCCCCAAGTACTAACCAGGCCACTCACATTTTTTAAAGATCCCCAATCGTCACTAATTCCAGGGTAGTAATTTTTAATTCCATAAATGAATCCCCAAATCATCATAAACTCCAGGGTAGTAGCTATTTTAATTCCATAAAGTGAATCCCCAATCGTCACTAACTCCAGGGTAGTAGCTATTTTTAATTCCATAAAGTGAATCCCCAATCGTCACAAACTCCAGGGTAGTAGCTATTTTTAATTCCATAAAATGAATCCCAAATCATCATAAACTCCAGGGTAGTAGCTATTTTTAATTCCATAAAGTGAATCCCCAATCGTCACTAACTCCAGGGTAGTAGCTATTTTTAATTCCATAAAGTGAATCCCCAATCGTCACTAAACTCCAGGGTAGTAGCTATTTTTAATTCCATAAAGTGAATCCCCAATCGTCACTAAACTCCAGGGTAGTAGCTATTTTTAATTCCATAAAGTGAATCCCCAATCGTCACTAACTCCAGGGTAGTAGCTATTTTTAATTCCATAAAATGAATCCCAATCATCATAAACTCCAGGGTAGTAGCTATTTTTAATTCCATAAAATGAATCCCAAATCGTCATAACTCCAGGGTAGTAGCTATTTTTAATTCCATAAATGAATCTATTTTTAATCGTCACTAAACTCCAGGGTAGTAGCTATTTTAATTCCATAAAATGAATCCCAAATCATCATAAACTCCAGGGTAGTAGCTATTTTAAATTCCATAAAGTGAATCCCCAATCGTCACTAACTCCAGGGTAGTAGCTATTTTTAATTCCATAAAATGAATCCCAAATCATCATAAACTCCAGGGTAGTAGCTATTTTTAATTCCATAAAGTGAATCCCCAATCGTCACTAACTCCAGGGTAGTAGCTATTTTTAATTCCATAAAGTGAATCCCCAATCGTCACGAACTCCAGGGTAGTAGCTATTTTTAATTCCATAAAGTGAATCCCCAATCGTCACTAACTCCAGGGTAGTAGCTATTTTTAATTCCATAAAGTGAATCCCCAATCGTCACGAACTCCAGGGTAGTAGCTACTTTTAATTCCATAAAGTGAATCCCCAATCGTCACTAACTCCAGGGTAGTAGCTATTTTTAATTCCATAAAATGAATGAATCCCCAATCGTCACTTACTCCAGGGTAGTAGCTAACCTGGAGCTTGTGACGATTGGGGATTCATTTTATGGAATTAAAATTCTGTTTTTTTCTCTTTAAAAATGTGAGTGGCCTGGTACTTGATTTAACCGGGTGTTGCAGTATTACGCTATGTTATTTTGTTTTTTTGTGGAAAAAGGACTTTCTGAATATCCAAGGAGTTTTCTTAAATTTTTCACTTATAAAAGTTTTTTTTTTTTTTCACAAATTTTTGAGTGGGACTTTATATGTTTAATATTTTTTATTATTTATATATATTTTATTCAGCACTATATCAAATTATTTTGCACTGTGTTGATTATACATTCACACTAGCTTTGTCAGCAGGCATCAGACAGGCGTTTGGGAAGCGTTTTTAACGCTTCTCAAACGCCTATGAAAATTCTGCACATGGCAGCACACAGTGCTGTTCACACGGAAGCATTAGTGTCGCGGAAAAACTAACGCCTCGTCATCTTTAGATTGTAAGCTCCAGGAGCAGGGCCCTCCTATTCCTTTTGTACTGAAATGTATTGT